ATTCAAATGAAGTTGAAAATTGATGAAAAAGATGGATTTTAACCCATTTTATATTTTTCGATGGCTATTTTTTAAATTTTCTAAAAAAGATGGGAAAATATAAAATTGAGTATTAATGACCAAAACAATTTTTAATCTTTACCATAATGTAAAGAATATTTAAAAATGCATTACAAATCAAATTCCTTATTTTTGAGAATTTATATATATTTTTTTATTTTTTTTTTAAATACCAGTTGATCACCCTAACCGCCCAAAACCGGAACCGGCCAGTGGCCAGCTCCGATCTAACCAGGCGGTTAGTGGTTAGATTAGGCGATTTTGCGAACAATGGTTAGGGTTTAAGTGCTTCTTTCTCCTTGTTTGAGAGATCAAAGTAGAGAGAGAAACCTTACAACCAGACAACCTAGGCTCAGAAACTCACCCAAAACAGAGAGAAAAAGCGATCTACCAATGATCTAGGAATACGAGATGGGGTGCAAAGTCCCAAGGGGTGACCCTTCAAAGAACTGGTCAGTTTTCTGCATATTTAACTGCATTTGGGGCACTTGCTTGGGGACGTGGTCACAACTTCTCCCGTGCAAGGTATGATTTTCTTCTTTGATTTTGAGTCTCATTTATTGTATCAAAATCTCACAATAGGCTGGTGTAATACCAGGTAGATATGGGGGCATTAATAAAAGGTGTTCTGTTGGATTTTTGCTAGAAATTTTAAAAGTAGCACTCTGTATCACCCAGGTGAAGCCTCTCACAATTGTAAACCTCAGGACTCAAATAGTCCATGCACTCTAAGAAGTTCCTTGGATGATGATGACTTATGAAGGGATCATCACAAAACTCACAATAGCACAATGAAGATGCAATGACCTGTAATAGAGGCAATCTGGAAGATGCATAGTTTGCCACCAATGAGTCTCCAAATGCTATACAAAAGTAGCAAACACATATCTCCTTGGTGCTAGCATTTATAAGAAGCAGAAAACTCCACCCAGCCTCTTCAAACTCGAGTTCCCAGTGTTCTAAAAAATGCCAGGTGGCTCCTAGGCACCCGGGGGGGCTCCTAGCCACCCAATGCCTAAAACCTAGGCAGCTTAGGACCTAGGTTGAACAAGAGGGGCAAGGAGCAGGGGAATGTAAGCATACATCATAAAATAATAAAAATCCAAAACGTTCCAAACCATTATATATTTGTAATAGATAGACTACTAGCATAAACAAAAATAAAATATAATAATAATCAATAAATTAGTAATACAGGCACAATCCATATTACATAAACCATACTTCATACTCCATAGTTCATATCATTCCATAATCGATATTTTCATATATTGATACAACCATATAGTCATACACATAAAAGTAGATAGTAGAAACTAGAAAATAAAAAAAAGAAAACATACAGTCTAAGACGCAACACCAAGAGTCAAGTGTCGTCAGTCATCATCAGATTAAGTAGGATATACCTCATCATATGCATCAGACTCGAGGCCATCATCATCAAAGTCATCTCCATCTTCAACATACCACTCGTCCTCCTCTGTTTCTTTTAAATCTGCTTCTTCCTCCTCTTCTTCTAACCCCCTCTTACTGTATGCACATGAGGCCCTAGGAGTCTTAGTTGCTCTACTTGGTGCTTCTTCAATGTTTTAAAAAACGGTCCGCCCGGCGCTTGGTTAGGTGCCCTGGACCAAAATACCACACGCTCAGACCCAGACGGCCCTACACGGGCGTGAAGTACAAGGTACGTGGGTTCTTTTTTTTCTTTTTTTTTTAAGATACCCAAAAGGGAAAATGGGGTAATTTTGACCCTCCAAAAATGTTTAAATAGGTTATGGGGATTATTTTCAACTCCTAAAATTAAAAGAACAATTCCATAAACCCTTAATGTCTTAGCTATACCTATTTCTGATAATCAAAAGTATTTTTTGTGGTTTGAAGAAGCTTCCTAAACTTTTTCACTTATTATGGAATATGGAGAGTTGGTGACTATTACTAATACATATCCTATTAGACTTTTGAATTTTGTACGGTTTGGAGTTTGAAATTTTGAATAAGCTTATTCTCAATTTGCGATATGTCATATGTTTGTATATAAAAAAATATGTTACAATAATACAATATTTTCAAATGCACTAAATTACAAATTTGACACAAATATATATATTTATTTTATATATATATATATATATATATATATATATATATATATATATGTATATAGAGAGAGAGAGAGAGAGAGAGAGAGAGAGAG